TGGGAAGATGAACACGTCTGGGGGTGGATGGTGATGATGGTTATACAGCCATCGTGAATGTATTTAACGCCGCTGACTTGTACACTTGGAAATGATTACAACGCTAAGTTTATGGTAAGTATAATTTACCGATGCAAAATTGGGACAAGCCCAGCCGGCGTGGCTCAGTGGCTGAGCGGCGACCTATGAACCAGGAGGTCACGGTTCGATTCCCGGTCAGGGCACATGCCTGGGTTGCAGGCTTGATCCCCAGTGTGGGGCGTGCAGGAGGCAGCCAGTCAATGATTCTCTCTCATCATTGAGGTTTCTCTCTCGCTTTCCCTTCCTCTCTGAAATCAATAAAATATATATATATTTTTAAATGGGGCGTGAGTGGCTGAACTTCCAGCCCCATAGCTGAGAAGATGGACCATGAGGACAGCACGCTCGCCCTCTCCCTCCGCCTCCCTCTTCCCGTGTACAGAGACAAAGCTGGGCTTTCGTGCTGAAGGAGGCCTTCTGGCTCCCTGGTTGGGACTCATTCTGAAATGAAGAGGGAGCCCAAGTGACAGGTTAGCCTGGTTTCCCTCAGAAAACAGGGTTCCTGGAAGCCCCCCAGGAGCAGGAGTCCGTGGGGGGAGTGACATGGGAGGGGGGTAACATGGAGGGGGAGTGACATGGGGGGGTGACTGGAGGGGCGGTGACATGGGAGGGGGAGTGACATGGGGGGGTGACTGGAGGGGCGGTGACATGGGAGGGGGAGTGACATGGGGGGGTGACTGGAGGGGCGGTGACATGGGAGGGGGAGTGACATGGGGGGGTGACTGGAGGGGCGGTGACATGGGAGGGGGAGTGACATGGGGGGGTGACTGGAGGGGCGGTGACATGGGAGGGGGAGTGACATGGGGGGGTGACTGGAGGGGCGGTGACATGGGAGGGGGAGTGACATGGGGGGGTGACTGGAGGGGCGGTGACATGGGAGGGGGAGTGACATGGGGGGGTGACTGGAGGGGCGGTGACATGGGAGGGGGAGTGACATGGGGGGGTGACTGGAGGGGCGGTGACATGGGAGGGGGAGTGACATGGGGGGGTGACTGGAGGGGCGGTGACATGGGAGGGGGAGTGACATGGGGGGGTGACTGGAGGGGCGGTGACATGGGAGGGGGAGTGACATGGGGGGGTGACTGGAGGGGCGGTGACATGGGAGGGGGAGTGACATGGGGGGGTGACTGGAGGGGCGGTGACATGGGAGGGGGAGTGACATGGGGGGGTGACTGGAGGGGCGGTGACATGGGAGGGGGAGTGACATGGGGGGGTGACTGGAGGGGCGGTGACATGGGAGGGGGTGACATGGGAGGGGGTGACATGGGAGGGGGAGTGACATGGAGGGGGGGAACATGGAAGGGAAGAGACATGGGAGTGGGGAGAGCCAGACAGAGGAGTATATGGATCTGGTCACCACTATGGGCCACTGGGGCTCCATCCCCTGGGACACATGGAGGGACTGTGTTGACAGCACCTCAGAAATGTCGTCTGGGAGACCAAAAAGGGGGCGTGTGCCCAGGCATGTTAGCTCCTGGCACTTCCAGGGTGCCAGCAGGGATCCTGCAGGTGTGCTGGGCAGAAGGCGCCCAGGCGGGCAGAGGCCAGGCGCTGTCGGCTACACTGCATGCACCTGATTGAGCAGCCGTGACTGGAGTAGAAGGGAGGGCAGCTGCGAGGATGTGCCTCAGGAGGCGTCCCAGACAAGTGTCCAGTGAGGGGCATCGTCTTTCCCCCTCTGGGCAGCAGCATTCTGCGGGGTGGGAGTGGGTCTCAGTGCCTGTCCTTTTCCTCGGTGAGACAGGCGGGTTGGGGCTCCTCACAGGACAGGACTAGGGTAGGCCCAGGAGAGGCCCCAGGAGAAGCCCGCGTGAGTCCGGGAGGGCCCAACAGAGCAGAACAGAGGCCGCTGCTGGAGGCAGGGCCAGGCACCCATCCTCCTGGAAGAGCTCCAAGCCGGTGCCTGCAAAAGCCAGGCCTGCACCTGTGCCTGTGCCGGCGCCAGGAAGCCCTCGATAAGATCTGAAGTCTTCGAGGAATAATAGGCATGGCCTTAGGCACTGCCTTTTCCTGCAGGCGGTTCCTTTCAGCCCTCTCTGGACATCAATCTTATCATGCCATCTGGCTGGGACCAGCAGCTGGGCACGGGCCCAGCCCTCCAAGCCAGAATCCCATTGCAGACTTGAATTCACGGTGGGGCCTGGGGAAGTGGGAGATGTCCTGAGGGCCAGAGCAGGCCGCCAGGAGAGGGGATGAAGAGGCAGTGAGGTGCAGGCGGACCTGGAGCTCTGCTGTGCTGACTTGGGCAAGTTACTTAACCTCTCTGAACCTCCGTTTTCTGAGTAGCCTAATTATACTGATCTCATAGAGTTGTTGTGAGGGGTAAGTGGTGAAGGCATATCAAGTGCTGAGAAGAATGCCTGGCACATGATCTGGGCTCAGTACATGTTAGTCATTCCTGTTATTAGAAGGCACAGTGATGCCCATAGGTCAAAGCCGGTGAATCCTTTGCCCTCTAGCCGCCATTAAACCTGGGGATTGGGCCGTTGCCAGGAGAGGACCTCTGGATTCGGTGGGTGGAGGGAATGGGAAAGTGCTTCGGGGTGAGGGGCACAGTGTGAGCAAAAGCAGAGGCAGAAAGAGCCTTGCATGTTGGTCTTCTATTGCTGCCCAGCACATTACTACCAACTCAGTGGCTTACAGCAATGCCGTATATTACCTCCCAGTTTGGAAGTGAGAGTCACACTCGGTGTATCACGAGGCTGAGATCAAGGCTCGCCAGACTGGGCTCGTGTCTGGAGGCACAGGGCCAGCAAAGTCTGCTCCCAGGCGCATTGGGTTTTGGCAGAATTGACTTCCTTGCGCTTGTAGGGCTAAGGTGCCCTTCTCCTTCCTGCCATTGACCAGCGATTCCCAGAGGCTGCTCCGTTCCTTGCAGGTGCCCCCTCCTTCTCACCAGCAGTGGTGTGTCTTGTCTTTCTTGTGCTGTGAATCTTTGTCTCTAGTTCCAGTCCCAGATTTAAGAGATTCATGTGATGGATTAGGCATAGTCTCCCTATATTCAAGTCCGCTGATTTGGAGTTTAATTACATTTGCAAGATCCCTTCGGTGTTTCATTGAGTAACTGGGAGGAGGTGTACACGCAGGACCCTCTCATGGTTCTGCCTAGCACACAGGCATGTGCCTGGGGCAGACAGCGGAGTAGATGGGGCTGGAGGAGGTCATGGGCAGCGGTTGGAGCAGGAGGGATAAGTGGGTGTTGGTGGTGGGAGGGATGGAAGGCCACTGTAGGCCTTGAATGGCAGGTGGAAGGAGGGACATTGGACACACCGCAACTCTGACTGTGGCCTTGCACCACTAGGCATGCTTACTCCAATCGGAAACGACTCCCTTCAGACCCACTGCCCCCTGAGCCTCCACACTGGGGTCCCTACTCTGATGAGGGCTCCTGGGCCTGAAACCTCGGACCACTCCCTCTGGAATGGAGCAGGCCCCAAACCCCAAGGCCACGGAGCTCAGGAGCCCAGAGCTAGCTCCCTCTAGCATCATCCACTCCCCTGCAAGCAGCCTGGGGTCCAAGGGAGGCTGGGCTCCTTGCAGCAGCCAAAACCCAAAAACCGGAGTCAGAAGGTGTGTGTCCAACTGTTGCCAACCCAACCTCTGACCAGGTCAGCAGGGGTGTGGGAGTCAGCATTTGTGAACTTGGTGGCATTTCTGGAACCTGTGGGCCATTCCTTGTCCTGCTTTGGATCCATGAGTTAAAAACTCAACCAAACCTTGATCATTGGTGAATAACTACATTCTAAAAAAAGTCCTCAGTGATCCAAGGCTTTGAAATTCAAATGTTCCTTGAAACATACCAGGACCTGGTCTTCGTTATGAACAGTCACAGCCTAGGCAGGTGCAGGCCGCCTTCTGAGTCTAGGATCTCGAGGCGTACATTCAGGTCCTCTGTGTGCCCAAGCGCAGTGGGTTGGTAGATGGCATTCTCCTGGTGAAACCATGTGCCTCATCCTCTAGCTGAGGGGACTCCCCTTGGAGAGCAGCGATGTCCAGACAATGAAAGGGACACCAGACAAGCTTTGATGTCCCTTCCCATCTGGCTTAGAGCCCGTCAGGAAAGGGGGACGGTCCCCGGTAGGAAGGGATCTGGAGGTGAGAAAGGTTCTAGCTCTTCCCACTTCCAGGTGGTCAGGTGGGAGCTGTGAGCAAGGGGTGGGAGAGGGAAGTAGAGGTGGCTCACCAGGCCGGGGCCCCTAAAGCAGCTGGATCCACCCAGTCGGCCCGGGAAGGGACAGCAGTTCTGTTATTGGATTTCAGCAGTGTCCCTGGAATGCCACCCAGGTTATGCCAGGTCGCATCTGAGAGAAGGCTCAAGGGCTAACCAGGGTATGCAGGGTGGCCAGGCAGCCTCCATGGCTAGACCACACCCTCCCAAACCACCCACCAGGCCTTTCACCTCTGTCATTAAAAGCAGGTCACATTCCTACAGACTGAGCCCAGCATGGGTCCCTGAGCCGCACCATCACAAGGCTGCAGAACTGTGCTTATAACTCCAGGCCTGCAGGCTCCAGCTAATGTAGGGAGGAGAGTCTGGTCCAAAGAGAAGGCATCTCTTTAGAAGGAGGCATTTCCTTGGCGGGTTTGTGTCTGAGGATCCCCGATATATCCTAATGGTTGGGGCAGGGACACCAAAGCCTGTGGTCTGTTTTCTTCTGCTTTATTGGCAGTGTTTCTTAACTCCAAGTTGGGAAATGGGTCTGTTTTCTGCTTTTTCCCAGATGGCAAGGTCTAGGTATGGACTAATACCAAACATCGCACACGTTCCTATGTTGGTCAGTTAGGCAAGTTACCTGTCTTGTGTGGGCCTCCGTTTCCCTTTCCACACAGGGGAATTAACAGCATGTACCTCACACTGACGAGGGCATGGCCCCGCCTCCAGCTTTGTCTCACAGAGCCTTGCTCTTTCTCTCCCGCAGCCCTGACCCAGCCCGCGCTGGAGGGATGGAGAACTCCTCCGCAGCATCTGCCTCCTCTGAGGCTGGGAGCAGCCGCTCCCAGGAGATCGAGGAGCTCGAGCGGTTCATCGACAGCTACGTGCTCGAGTACCAGGTGCAGGGGCTGCTGGCAGACAAGACGGAAGGTGATGGTGAGAGCGAGAAAACACAGTCCCACATCTCCCAGGTGAGCATCGCCCCAGGGAGGAGCAGAAGGGCTGGGGCCTGGGCAGGTACAGGGCCTGGGAAAACTCAAAGGGTGTGATAAGGGGATCCTAAATCTAGTTGCCTGGCCCTAGATCGCTGGGATGTGGATGGTCCCACCCACAGAGCGTGGGATCCCTACAGCGAGCTCCTCTCAGACCCTCTGACCCACCTCTGCTCTGTCCTATCCTATTGGGCCAACGTTTGATTAACGGAACACAGATTTATTGAGCACCTACTATGTGTTCTACCCTATTTATTCCCTGTCCTCTATATGCTTATGTTCTGGGAGAGATCTAGGGGTTGCAGCTTATCCAAAATGCACACAATGAGAATGCTGTGACTTGTGAATGTTTTCTCTGATTTCAAATACAGGCAGGTTTGGGCAGCCACAGAATTGAGTCTCTCTGGCAATCCCTCAGGGCTCTGTGTCAGACCTAGTGAGGCCTTGAGGCATTGTGACCAGGGTCTCAGGCTGGTCTCGCCCCCTCCTGGTCAGTCTGTGGTCTTGGGTGGAAGGTGGACTCGGATGGTAGGCTGTGGGCCAAGATTGGGATGGAGAGGAAGCACTCTTGCTGCCTCCCGTAAGCATCCGGGAGCTGTCTCCCCCAGGAGCTGGCCCCATGGACAGGTGGGTGGGGCCAGCCTGGTGGGTGCTGCCTGCCTCTGCCACCATGTGGACTCTGATGGCTCCAGCAGGGCATCTTTCAAAGGTTCTTCCAGGTCAAATGGGTTCTTACAGGAGGAAGGTCCAAGGAAGCCACGAAGCTTCACCCTAGAGGAATGCTTTGTCAATTTCTGTTTCCAAAGCAGGCCCTGGAGAGAGAATTTCGGAAGGAGGGGTCTGCCAGTGACTTTGACCTTCCTGTGGTGACTGCTGAGCTCTCAGGAGGACAGCAGATAGAGAGGTGCCCTCTGTCTGGGCCCTGCACTGCTGGCTCCTGCTCCTGGGCCTGACCATGCACCAGTATTCACATCTGGAGGGGCTTTAAACAGATGCTTGTTGCCCTGGCCGGGTGGCTCAGTTGGTTGGAGCATTGTCCCCTATACCAAAGATTGTGGGTTTGATTCCTGGTCAGGGCACATACCTAGGTTACAGGTTCAATCCCCGGTCGGGGCACATATGGGAGGCAACCGATCGATGTTTCTCTCTTTCTCCCTTCCTCTCTCTAAAAAATCAGTTTAAAAAAATCCTTAGGTGAGGATTAAAAAAATAATACAATTAAAAAGCAACAACAAAAATAGATGTTGGTTGCGAGGCAGAGCGTGGACAACATGGCCACTGGTAACATCTGGACGCGTTCCTTAATCTTCCTGCATTTTATGACGTTCCCTGGAAGAATGTGAGCACTGGGCAGGTCCGCCTGTGCGCTGCTGGCCAAGGAAGGACATTTCCATCTTGATCCCACCCCGTCCCACAGGCGCCCCAAGACACAGCTGGGGTACAGGCTCCAGAGGAGGGTGCACTGCGGACAAGGCCGGGCTTAGAAGTGTCTACGTAACACGCTTCTGTTGACACTGCCTTATGGGAAATCTTCCTGCTAAAGCACGTTTGATTGTTTTTATTTAATTTGATGACTGTTTCAAATGGAAGCCAAAAACAAAGAACAAAAATAACCCCAGAGAATGTCCCGTCTGCCTGTCTGCGGTGGTGCTGTAATGTTTCTGGGAGAGGAAAATTGTTAAGAATCTCGGAAACTTTGAGAAAGCTTGAGGGAATGGGGAAGAATGTTGTCCTTCAGTTGGTGAGGCCATTTTCTTAGGATCTGAGAGATGACAGTTGACACTCAGGAGGAAAATACCTTATGATGCTTGTTCTCCCTGCCCCTGCCCAGCACCAACTAGAAAGATGGATGGATGGCAGGATAGATGGAAGGAAGAGGGG